TGGTAACGATAACACCGGACGACTGAGTGGTGACCAATGGTTTGCTGTCGAAGAGCCACAAAACCTCTTTGATCCACGGGTTGGCCCGTATGTGACACTCGAGGTATATGTCGCTGCCCTCGCGTATAGACTCTTTCTGTATGTTCGCCCCAAACGATAGCGTTATTTGTGGCGGAACTGTACCGGAAATGACCGGGAAGTATATGTTAATAAATAAATCGATGTAGAAATTATTATATTTGGTGATTGATGGATTAATTATAATAGTAAATAGCTAATTAAAGGATATTAAAACTAATCACATTTAATTAAATAGTATAATTAGTAAATAATTGTTAATAAATTATAATTAGAATAAATATAAGAACCTAAACGTTATGTACAATATATAAACTAATGGTAACATACAGTATACGTTAAGCACACGGCTGTCCTCGAGGGCCGTGTGAGGCATCGGCAAGTTGTCTGCCCTACAGGACAGTTGTTTGCCGTTGTCATCGATGGCCGGCACAAACGACACGACTGAGAAACTAGTGTTGCCATCGTTTATTAGTGAGTCCCGGGCTGTAGTGACCCTGTGGTTGTGTTTCCACCACGTTATCTGCGCCGGCGGTCGGGAGCCCGTCGACCGGCACTGAAGCTCTGTCCGCATACCGGCCACCAGTGGTCGCATTGGCGTTGCGATCAATACGTCCAATGGTTTTACTATGGATTGACATATTGAACAATTGTGTTAATAATTTGCAAATTCCTGTAGTATAGTTCATAGTGATAAATATTCATGGTGAATATTGTGTTAAAATTTTTTTTGAATGGTTTGTTGAGCATGGTTTGATTTCTAAAATTCATTTGTTTTGTATAATAACTATTATGTGTCAAGGTTGTATTGAATTTGTTATATGGTTAAGTTAAAATTTAAATTTATGATTTATGTATTTAATGCATGGTATTAATGATATAAATCACAAAATATTTTGCAAGAATAATGAAAGAGAGAGAGAGAGAGAGAAGGCAATAAAGTTGTTATTTTAGATTTATTAAAATTATTTTTTGTGTCTTTTTTCGGACTCATTATTTATAACAAAAATCTATTTATTTACTGTCTTTAGTATACACTATATTATAAAGGATTGTATTTTATCCGGACATTCATCGCATACAAAATGAGAGAGAGAGAGAGAGAGAGAGAGAGAGATTTAAATAATGTAATAAAATATTTATATTATGTTTTTTAACCAGAGAAATGATACGATGAATGTCCGGATAAAATACAATCCTTTATAATATAGTGTATACTAAAGACAGTAAATATTTATTAATTATATTATTAGGTTGTTATAAAATAAAATTAATTTATTAATAATGGACAATCCTTAGCATTCCAACTTGACTATTTAAAAATATAATTTTTTTTTATTTTTATCACAAACTTTTTTTCTGGTAACAAATGATACCGATTTAGATGTTATATTCATTTATGAGTTATGTATTTAATACATAACATATTGCAACATGAATGCCGATTAGTTGGTCATTCGCTGTGACCGTCAACTCTCGGCGTCAGTCGAGTGCGTTAGAGCGGGCGCTACCTGTGTCTCACCGTTAATGCTGTCATCCATGCGCTGAGCCTTAGGTCCTTAGCTCAGGTCTCTAGGTCTGCCCACTCTGTGACCGCTGTGTCCGGTTGACTGTCACAGGTTGCTGTCGTTATTAGTTATTATTATTATTAAAAAGGGGTTAACATTAAATACACGGTTTAAAAAGTAAAAGTATTTAATATAATAAAACACAAAAGTATATATGTATTACATCTTGTAATTGTAAGGCTTTTGATGGGTGTATTATAACCTCTCTTACGTACAGTAAGAGAGTTAAGCGACAAAAAGCCCCGAGAGTTGGGAAACATAGCCTATTTAAAGGCTACAGAGGAGTAGGGGTTGTATAACATTCTTGAGGGCTAAGGACTGACCAATCATAGGGTCGTTATGTAACATACATGCAGTTAAGGCTCGTTATAACTAACATACAGGTAAACATAAGTATAGTATACAATGCAGTAAATACTGCAATATAATTGTATGAATGATATAAATCACACAATTTTTTGCAATAATAATGAGAGAGAAAGTTAGATTTTAGGCAAATCTAATTTTCATAATTTATTTAAATAAATAGATTTTTGTTATAAATAATGAGTCCGAAAAAAGACACAAAAAATAATTTTAATAAATCTAAAATAACAACTTTATTGCCTTCTCTCTCTCTCTCTCTCTCTCTCTCTCTCTCTCTCTCATTTTGTATGCGATGACAGCTTTTGTTTATATGACTTATTGTATTCATGAATATAATTCATTGTATGTCTGAAAGACAAAACACATTTGTCGTCGACTTGTCTTATATATTGTGTTAAATTTTAAAAAATAAAAACTCAATTCAAATAACAAATTGCTATAATTTGTTGTATCGCTGTTTTTGTCAATTGAGAAATCAGATGAAATATTAGCGTTGAGGTAAAAATGGGTATCAAATTAATGTTACGGCTTTGAGTGTGATTTACTTTTAATGTTTCCTTTGATTAAAATTATTGTCATAAATATTTATTCAATATTAATATAATAATATCTGAACAATATCATCTTGATCAAATAAACCCTAAACTAAACATAAATATTTAATTTGAAATTAAATTATATGCGCAAACGTTTTAAACGCTAATCAAAAAGTTTGATGGTTAGAGAAAACAAGAATCTGCACAGAATTTGTACAAAAACTCTATCGATAAAAATGCTAACAAATTGTACAGAATATTCTGTACGACAAGTAAAACACACACAAAGAATATAAGAGAGAATATACTTACGATTCATGTCGAGTATAACGGAACTGACGACCGGTTCGGACATATTTGTATTGCTCGCACGGCATGTGAGGACTGACATGAAGTCCGTACGGTTCAGGTGCCTGACGTTCAGCTCATTGCGTACGAGTCCGTGCGGGCCAGTCGTGTAACTGTCGTCGATTAGGCGACTTCCGTGAAACCACACCACCGATGGACTCGGCTTTCCTAATCACATGATGGACAGGTAGAGAACTGGTTAGACATATTGACATACAGTTTACAATATAACTTATGGTGTGTGTTATGTGTTGAGTGACACTGATATGGGGGGAGGGCTAGGGGTGGGTGTGATGTGAATGTGTGGGTATTAGTGATGTGTGATTGAGACCAGATTAGCACAGATTGAGCGCACAGGCAGTCAATTAATTGCATGATATATAAGCTTATATATTGTGTGTGTATAAGCTATTGATAAGGTGTGAACAGACAAACCCAATGGACAGTATGGCTATAAATAGTTAATTGGATGTCAATTGTGTGTCCATTTATATCGTGTGTGTGTTTTATGTGTGATATANTGATATATAAGCTTATATATTGTGTGTGTATAAGCTATTGATAAGGTGTGAACAGACAAACCCAATGGACAGTATGGCTATAAATAGTTAATTGGATGTCAATTGTGTGTCCATTTATATCGTGTGTGTGTTTTATGTGTGATATACTGTTTATAAATACCAGTAAGTGTTTGTACGTAAGATATAAGTCAATCAAAATCTAGATAAAAAGGTTTATTAAATATACATATAGCACATTAAATAATGTTAAATTATACTGTATTTCTAATAATGTATATTTTTATCCTCATTATAGTGAAGTAAAGTATTGGGTATTTTTCTATAACTATCAAAATCATGGCAATAATTTGTTATTTTAATAGTAAATACTTTAACACGAAATGTATATTATTTTTATCATTGTATAATTTATTATACATTATATTTTAATTAATTATAAGTCTATAACAAAATGGTTTTTATGGCTACTTTTTATTGCATAATATAGTCGTGAGATTGTTATAAGAAAATGTTTTGTCAATTTTATGATTACTTATATTGTGTATACAAAAGTATAATAACAATAAGTTATTTCTGTATTATTGTTACTTTAATATTAATAATCACTAATATTTATGTTTAATATTGTTTTTATTGTCCATAAAATTGCTTTTATTTTTAGTATAAATTAACTCATTCTTAAAAATATACTGTAATGATAACCAAAATATCTATATAAGTCTTATACTTATAAACAAGTCTCTCTCTCTCTCTCTCTCTCTCTCT